GAGCGGGGGGGGGGGGGGGGGGGGGGGTGAGTCTAGTCAGGACCAGGTTACGATCCCATTGACAAACAAGTTGATGGACACGTGGATAAAGACTGTCTAGCCCTTTCAAAAACAGATGAACCACGGATCCACAAAGAGCAGGTGAAAAGCAGAGATAGCTGCTAATTTACAAAAGAGGATTGCTCTTGAACCCTGAGATCCAGAAGATAATCCAGGACCAGTGGGACCTGGGCATCCATAGGAGAGATCCCTTTCTTGGTAGCTCAGAGAGAGAAATGCTTCCATCTAGCCAGGTAGGTTGCCCTAATGAAAGGCTTCCTACTCTCTAGCAGGATCTCCTGCACCCACTCCGAGCACTGCAGATCCGCTGTTTTCAGCCATGGAGCTTCCAGGGCATCAGGTACAGGGACTGCAGGTTCAGGTGGCAGAGCCTGTCAAAGTCCTGCATTATCACATCCGGGTCCAACAATGGAAATGCATTAAAGCAGACCCTCAGCCCAGGGGTGAGTCCATCTCCCAGGGACCCGGGACCCATCCCCATGAAAGAACAGAGCCTGGGGCACTTCCTGTTTTGGCAGGATGCAAACATGTCCAGGAGGGAAACCCTCACCTGCAGAAGATTTGGAGGGCCACATCACCCCTGAGAGACTACTTGTGGCTGGAGAAGGACCTGCTCAGCTGGTCTGCCAGTGTTCTGAGTCCCAGGAAGATAGGTGGTGAGCGGCTGAATACCTGCCTCCCATAGCTGGAGGGCTTCCTGAAACAGGAGAGGGGAATGAGCCCCACCCTGCCTGTTTATGTAAGAAACCGCTAACGTGTTGGAGAAGACAGGAACCGTTCTGCCCCTCAGCCGGGGAAGAAAGGGCTGACATGCGAGACGGATGGCCCACAACTCTCTGACACCTAAATGCAAGGAGAGTTCCTCTCATGTCCACATACCATGGATATGCATGTCGCCGATATGAGCTCCCCAACCAGTGTCGGATGCATCCATTACCAACATAAGGGTCAGAAGGGGCCTGAAGAATGGGACTCTGGTGCAGACCGCCTGCTCCTGAGTCCCCCAATCCAGGGAGTGAAGGACGTCAGGGGGGACTGTCCCCAAACCGTCCCAAGTGTGAAAGGGTGGGTTGTGAGCACGCACCAAGCACAACTGCAGCGGGTGCATATGAGGCCTGGCATGCTGAATCACCCAGCCTCCTCAGAAGGGAGATCTCTTAAATGGAGTTTGATTTGTCCCAATAACTTGACTGAAAAAGGAACTACTCAAGTCAGCTTGACTCTTCATATGACTTGGAAGCTTATAAAAGCTTCTTCCATCATCAATTGTAGTCAAGACACCCAGTCCTAAGACAAAAAAAAAAGAAGGCAAAACAAGTAGGATCATACATCCCACACGGCAGCATTCAATATACTGGGTACAACAATCTGTCATGGTCCCATTGTCCCAAAATTACGGCAAGTTCTAAAAAAAGCAACAACCGTTTATTGGAATCCAATTATCACAACAGAGGAACAAATGAAGACATCATCATTAGGAAAACCAGTTCCTAGAAATTACTTCAACCTTACAAATCAAATGTGTTTTACAGAAAACAAGTAAATAGCTTCCTAACACAAAATCTGTAAGAAACTAAGTCCTACTTTGGGAGGACAATTAAAAAGAATGGTCACAAGACTAAGTATGAGACCAGAAGGAGTTGTCATTTACTAAGACTAGAAATGGACCACACCTGCTATGATTCACTGCAGCTAATATCTACAGAACTTTACTTTTATGCTGATTGGAACTAAAACACTGCTGTTGTGACTATGTTTAGCTGATACAAAGGCAAAAAACTGCCATCAGCAGGGAGAGAGGTGGATTGCACCAAAGAGACTAACATGCCTACTGAACACTACTGCACATCAGCTAGCTAAGGAACAACTATTATTCCAAGCTGATGATCCACTACACTATAGTCTCCTGACCCCATGCTGCCCTAACATGTGGTTTAGCATGCAACATCACAGCAGCTAAGGAAAAGACTGACAAACCTGGATACAAAAGATTTTCTTTTCTTTATGCACTACAAATGACAACAAAACAGAAATCCCATTCAAAACAGAAAGATTACAGATTGTAAATTTTCAGATTGTAAGTTTAGGGAAGGGGATTTCTATTTGATCCTAAGCTTACACAGTACAGGTTAGACCTCACTGGTCCAACAACCTCGGGACCTTACTGGTTCCAAACAAGGGGATTTGCTGTACCAGGGAAGGTCCCTCCCCTCATGGCTGAGCTGCCACTGGGCTAGGGCTCCAGCCTGCCCCTGCTGTTGCCTCACTACCCCCGGCTCTCTCCTCAACCCTGCTACTGCCAGGGCTGGAGTGCCATGGCCAGAGCTGCGCAACTGCCCAGCTCCACTCTCTGCAGCAAGGGTAGAGGGAGGGGCATGGAGCTCTGCATCCCGGGCTAGAACTTCCTGGCTGCTGCTGGGACTGGAGGTCCCTGGCCTCTGAAGCCAGAATGCGACCAGAGCTTTATGGCCAGGGCCAGAGCTCCCTGGCTGGGGCTGGAGGTTCCCAGCCACTGGGTCCAGGAAACTCAGCTGAGGCTAGAACACTCCACCATACTGTCCATTCTTCCCCACCCCCACACACTCTGTGCTCTCCTGATGGCACTCCCACTGGCACACCTCCCTCTTCCTGGGCTGTGGTCCAGGAACATCCATGGTCCATGCCGGACCACGGATGTTGCCAGACCAGGGAATCCCAGTTAAGGGAGGTACGACCTGTACCACTAAATTAGAGAGTTGCATTACTGTGTGCTAGAAAAAGGAGAGGCAATCTTCCTATCAAAGTTCTGGTACTGGCCGCTGTCAGAATCAGGGAGAGAATACTGGACTAGACTGGACTCTGTTCCAGTGTGGCAATGACAATGTTTTGGGGGGGGAGGGGAAGGGGGCGGATTTGTGGTTTTATTTAAATAATCAGTACCCTAAAAACATTAAAAATCAGCAGCACTGGAGATCATAACAAAAAAGTAAAACAATTTGTCTAAGTTAGAAGTATTAATGCATATAACATGTGAATGATTTTACCAGATCCTTCTTCAGCTAAGCCTTCCTTACCTGTTGCAATCCCACTGTCACTCTGCAGCAGTACTCCTGCCACTGGTTGTGCGTTGTTTGGGTTTGCTCCAGGGGCTGAAGAGGGAGGAGGCCCTGCCCCACCCCCAAGCAGCATACAGGATGGCGGAGGGGGCTGTCCACGTTTCAGTAACACTTTGTGGTCCTGCTGGCAACGGAATCGCGGTGGCACCTCCCGAGGCATGTAGCGGGCGGCGCTTGGCGGTTGTCCGTTCGGCACTGCCACCCTTTTGGCATTGTTGCCACCATTGACTGGTGGCGATGGAGAGCTGCCAATTGGGCTGGCGGCCACTGGCTGGCTTGAACTTAGTTTCGTCACTTCGGGCACTAGAACACAAGAAGGAAAAAAAATTAAAATTTTGTAAGATAAACTCTCTGAAATTGAACATTGTCATGGCAATTTCCCACTCAGAATACTGTGCAAACTCAACTATCAAGGAATCTATGAAGGTAAGCAGAAGCTCCATCTTTGTCAACACCAATGATTTAGAGATTGAAATCTCAGACTGAAATTTTAAATTTCAACTGACAGTGATTAATACACATTTTGTAATTTTCCCTCCATATTTCTTAATCTTTGGTTCACTTAGTGGCAGTGTTTTGTGATGCCATATAGAAAATCTGAATTTAGTTTCCAAGCTTTTACCTTGCTCATTAAGGCTATGTGATCACTACCAAAAAAAAATGAGCTTTTCGTTGTGTTTTGTACAGCAAGGACACAGCTCATCCATGTTAGCTATCTTGCTATAAAATCATAAAGGAGAGCAGGAGAGATGGTTACTCAAGCTGATGTTCTTCAAGATGAGCGTCCCAGAGCAGATTCTTCCTAGTGGTGCATTGGGGTCGCGCATGTGCGGCACACAAGGCTCCTCCTGGCACCATCGCTCACACACGGCCACCCTCCCCTTCAGGTCCTTCTATATCCGGAACCCAGCCTGGTGGAAAAGATATGTCTGTAGAGAGACTTTGTCCTTAAAAAAAGATGGTAAATGATGGGTCTGCCATTAGGGCAGCCATCACCTACCCGACATGCTGACGTTATTGCAACTAGGAATGGCATTTTTAGTGTTAAGTGGAGAAGGGAAGATGTGGCCATAGGGTTCAAATGGAAATTTCAAGAAGGTGGCCAATACCTGATGTAGGTCCGATGGTTCCTGTGGGGCAGTAACATCAGGATATAGGGCCTGTAGGCCTTTGAGTAAGCGCTTGGTTATGGGATGTGCGAAGACCATGGTGTCATCGACGGTCACATGGAAGGTTGCTACTGCTGCAAAATGTACTTTAATTGAGCTCAAGGAAAGATGGGATTGCTTGAGATGGAGTAAGTAATCAAGGACTGTAGGTAAGGGGGCATCCTCCGTGATGTGTTACAGGAAGAAACCCAATGTACAAAGTGAGACCATTTGATAGTGTAAGTCTTCCTTGTTGTAGGGGTCCTGCTGTGTAGGATCACGTTAGTACCGGTTCTGAACATTGTAGTTCTATGCCCGTGAACCATCGAGGTACCATGCTTTGAGGTGAAGAGTGGGAAATTGTGGGTGAGGACTTTTGTTTCTGGTTGGAATAGTATGCTCGGATTGCATCAGTGTGTGATTGGGCAATGTAGGGCCATTCTGCTAAGGAGGGGAAATCACAGCTGTCAGGGCCAGCAAGGTGCTATTAGGATAACCCTCACTTTGTCCCTCCATATTTTCATGAGTACAGTACTTTGTTGAGGAGGAGAAAGGGAAGAAATGCATAGAGAAAGTGGGCATTCCACTTGAGGATATGAGATTCTTCAAGAGTGCTTTCTCATGCCCTCCCTAGAACAATAAAGTGGGCATTTTTTGTTTTGTTCTGGTAGTGAATAGATCTATGTTAGGGTATCCCCATCGTGCAAATATCTGTTAGCTCTGAAAAGTCGATCTGCCACTCATTATCTCGGAGATAGGGCTCTGCTTAGGGCACTGGGGAGATAGCACACACTTATAGAGATGCTATTAATGAGGCACCAGATCCAGAGAGCTGTGGCTTCCTTGTATAGAGAATCATGCCCCGCCTTGTCTGTTTATATAAAACACAAGGCCATATTGTCCATATATATTCTGCCGTGGGTTCCAGTGATGTGGGGAAGAAAATGCTAGCATGCAAGCTAGACAGCCCTGAGCTCCAGGACATTGATGTGTAGGGTCCTCTCTGCTGGAGTCCATAGACTCTGGATTGTGAGGTCTCTCATATGTGCTCCCCAGCCCATAAGGGAGGAATCTGTGGTGATGACCACTGTGGGTTCTGGAGTTTGAAGGAGTATGCCCCTGCATAAACTGTACGGTTTTCTCCACCATAACAGTGATCTTTTTACTTTGTTGGGGACTGACAGTGTTTTGGTCAGCGAGTGTAGGCTGGACTTGTAGGTCGAGCTGAGCCATCCCTGGAGACACCTCATAAACTGACGGGTGTTGAGGACCACAGAGTTGCAAGATGCTATGTGGCCCAGGAGTTGCAGACAGTCGTGGGCTGTGAGGCGTGGCATTATGCGGAGCAAATGAACTAGCTTGCAGATCCTCAGGAACCCGTTGGGAGGCAGGAAGGCAATGGCTGAAACAGAGTCAAGGCAAGCCCCAATTAATTGTATGGACTGAGTAAGAACTGACTTGTTCTTACTTATTACAAGTCCCAGTGATTGGAAGCATTGTTGTACCAGATGGGTACAGTGATAGGAATTGTCTCAGGTTCTTGCCTTGATGAGGGAATCATCTAGGTACAGATAAATGGTAATGCCCCATTTTCTGACGATATGTGAAAGGTTTCCTAGTATTTGGGAGCTCTGGAGGAGGTAAGACGGTTTACAGTTTCTTGAGACACCCCTCAAATTTGCGTATTGGGCTGAGGTGGGTAGTTGGAAGTATTGGCCTGGCTACATCGATGCTGCTGTCTACAATAGCCACATTGTTGGTATGGCAGGTGATCTTGCCTTTGGTAAATGGAACGTGGGTTGTGAGTATCAAGGGCTCTGGTATGGTTGGTGTATATATTGTCTCCTCCTTGTTGCAGGTGTCTGAATGCCAAAAGAGCATAATGTGGCCCAGGAATCCTTCACGGGATGGAGGACATAGTTGTTTTTTTGATAAGAGCTTTTTGCCCTCAAATGGCAAATCTTCCATGGACGATTGGATTTCACAAGGGAAGGTAGAGGAATTAAACTAGGAAGCCTGTCTCATAACAACTGCCGTGACTGTTACTCTTGTGCCTGTGTCAACTGCATCTAGGGCAGCTTGAAGGGCAGTCCTCATTATTGCCTAGTCCTCTGTGATGATTGTGCTAAACTGCATCATTTTTGTGTCTAGTATACCATCAATAAAGGTGTTAAACTTTGCGTAATTATCGAAGTCCTATTTACTGAGGAGTGCTGCATAGTTGGCCACTTTTATTTGTAATGTGGCTGAGGTATACACCTTTTTGCCAAGTGTGTCAAGTCTTTTATTATCCTTGTCAGATGGCATGGAATGGTTTTGTTGTTGCTTGTTTCTTTGCTGAGCCACATCAACTACTATGGAGTTTGGTGGTGGATGAGTAAATAACTCTGACTCCTTTGGTAGGACATAATACTTGCAGTCTGCCTTTTTACAGATGGGAGGGATTGAAGCAGGGGTTTCCCAAAGAATTTTGGCAGGTTCCATTATGTCAGAGTTAATAAGCAAGGTGATTTTTTAAGGCGGCAGTAGCCTCCAGGATGTTTGTAAGCTCATGTTGTGTCTCCTGCACTTCCTCCACTGAAATGTTTAGATCAGCTGTGACTCTCTTAAAAAGCTCCTGAACAGGGGTGAAGTCCTCAGCGGTTGACAATGGCAATGGCATGATAGATCAACCCCTCACGGATGGTGAGCTTGTGTCCAGCAATGCATCCGGACCCAAATTGGTAATGATGTTCATCCATTTTGTTCCATTCCCTCTGTATTTGACAGGACTGGGATAGGGGAGAAAGTGCTTTCATAGATGCCTCAAAGAAGATGTGTCAAAGAAGAATGTGTAATTTTAAATGCACTGTAGCAGATGAGGTCAACCACTGGTGGAAGCCATAGCACTGACCTCACCTAACTATGTTAAGATGAAGACTATCTGGTGCTTTGTCTTCATTAGGGTTTTACAGTGAGTTAAGCTAACCCACACTTATTTAACAGTGAGGTAAGTGAACAAACAAAAGCACCACTTTTGGCAGTGACAATACAGCATAAGTCACGCAGAATGCACAGCTACAACAAGGAAATGCTGTCTTTCCTTCTGGAGCAACCCTCACTGTTTGACCCAGGAATAGTGTTTATAAATACTGCAATGATACCTAGCCAAAATGGGCTTGTATCTGAGGACCTCTGAGTAGAGATGAAGTGATAAATGTGTGGGGGACAGCGGGGGGATGAGGGAATCCTAGGGGCGCGCTTGTGCCTTAACAAAACTAAATTCATCGACTTGGGAGATTTCAGAAATAGAATTCCTCTATTCTCCATGTTTTTAGAAATGAAGCAACGTACGCTCAGACATTAAACAGTTTGGGAACAAAGAAAGAATTTGTTACATCCTAACAAGGTAACTAGCTTGGAAAAAGTCAAAAGGTTTCACAAGGCACGTACAGACTCCAAAACCCAGGACACATTTTAGAGCTATAACTACTCCAGTCTCTCTTGTGGACTGAAGTAACAGTAGCACGAGAAGGGGCTATTCTCCCAAACATCGCATAACTGATGTGATCTACTTTTTAAATACAATCAGACACACACTTGTTAGGAAAGCAGTAAAATACAAAACAAGTGTAGGAATTCTTCTAGAACAGAATGTGTTATATCCTATTTTTATCTTTGTATACAGCTCGTGATGGCTTTTCTCACTTTCCTATACAAACTCCATTGCCTAAAAATTATTAGATTTTTTAAAATTTCAATCAAATTACTATTTTTCCTTTTGCATCCCCCACTAAAAAGAGGTAGCAATCAGGTTCAAGTACATTTTAAATCAGGTGAGCAAGTTAAACACTTGGCAAGATGCTTATTCACAATCTTTTCTATTTGACATTCAAGTCTCTGTGCTTTAAACATCTCTTAATTCAGTTCACACAAAGAAAGTATTCCACTCATTTTGGTGTTCCCTCATTAAGAAATTCTTCTCCTCTCACTGACCTTAGTAGTTTGTTTCAGCTAGTGGCTACACTTCTGAAAAGCTGCACTTTTAGGGTTTTCAACATTCACCTAATTCATGAGAGGTCATCACAACTAAGATATTATTTTATTCAAAAAAGCTTTTTTTCCCCTCAAATATTCTGAAGGCTGACTGGAAATGTTCCTACATATTCTCTTCTTGACCACTATAGCTGTTGTTTCTGCTCACTACTCATGCAGAAATGCTTCATCTTAGGACTTGACAGTCTCACTCCCTTATCCAAGAATTTCAGTCAAGGACAAAGGCCTGTTCTGAGTCTAAACAAAACTAGACTCCATGTTTGAACAAATTAAATCTCTTACCTTTGGTTTTTTGATCTGTGACCTGCAAATTAAAACCAAAGAAGTTAATAAACATAATAAATTTTAAGAGGAAAGGGGGTATTTATCCATCATCATCTCTGACACGTATTAGATCCAAACAAACATAAGTAAGAGAAAGACGTTACTTCATTTACGATGATTTGTAAGGTATTTTCCACTGGAACGTTTTAAAGCAGAAGTATGTATTCACTCCAAATATGGCTTTTTAATATCTTTAAAGGAAATCATTACTGTAAATAGCAAAGCATAATGGAAACAAACCTAAAAAATGCCACATGCAACCCCATAACTGAAAACTATTAAGGTGACATCTCATGCTGCCTACAGGGACAACTTTAGTGAAAAGCCCCAACCCATCTCTCTGCAGTCTTTCCCTTCACCTTCCTCCCCTGCCATTTTCTTTTCCCGGGAAAAGACAAGTTCAATCTTATTATCACTGTCACAAATGGGAACTGTAATACCTCTAGCACCATCGGATATCAAAATCCTGTGATTGCTACAAGCTCTGTATAATGGACTTACTGAAGTGAGCCATTATACCAGCCAACTCTCCAATTTTTGTTTTGCTGTATTTTTAAATTCTTTTAGTAGTATAGATTTCTAGTTACAGTAGAACCAAATATGCCACTGGTATGTTCTCCAGAATTCTTTGTATTGTGGCATGTTTTGAACTTGCTGGTCATGAGCTCCTCTACACAATAAGGGAAAACCCCAAGATCATCATGTGTCAGGCTTTGTGCTACCTCTTCTTAAAAGAAATTGCTGAACTAGTCCCTAATTCTGGATGGTACAGTCACAATATAGAATAATAGAACCACTACAAGTAAAGGCAATTTATTGTCTACAGACACCAACATAGCCAGATTTCCTTTGTATGATAAAGAATAAGAAGCACAACCACTCACTTGCTGCTGGAATCATTCCACTTTGGAAAGATGCTCTCTGGGGGCTGGGAAACTGAACATGCCCCAAAATATAAAATGCCACCCCTCCGTGCTCTGTAAAATTTCACTCACATTTATATAATCTCAAAGTCTCACTACACGACAGGCAGCAAAAATATACTTTTTTCATAACAAACCAGATTTTCATTTTCCCCGGGACAGTATTTTTAACTGACTTACTGAGAGTGTTCCATTTCAAAAACAACCAAAATCACCCATCCTTACATTGCCCCAACCTCCATCCCTATACCGCCTTTTTAAATAGGGACATAATCATGACATTTTTACACAAGGAGAGTCAAAAGAAAACACATGAATGCCATATTGCAGTGCTGCTAGATTTACTAAATTTAACCTGGGAGACAATAAATCTTCTTGTAATAAACTTAATCTAACAAAGATGGTCATTCACAGAATCCTAGAAATGTAAGGCTGAAAGCGGTCTTGATAAGGTCATCAGCTCTCAACTACTGTGCTGTGGCAGGACCAAGTATATCTCGATGTCATCCTTGTTCAACCTGCTTTTAAAAACCTCCAATGATTTCTACATTGTCCCTTGGAAGCCTATTCCAGAAGATAACCATCCTTTTAGTTATAAAGATTTTCCTAATACCTAACCCAAATCTTCCTTGCTGCAAATTAAGCTAATTACTTTTTTGCTATCTTCAGGAAACATGGAGAACAATTGATCACTATTCTCTTTAATAACAGCCCTTAACATCTACCTTTTCAACAACTCAGAATTCTAAGCTGTAACTAACATCTGCTTTAGCGGGAAAAATAAATTCCAGCCTCTGCATCAAACCCAACATTGCATCCTTTGTCCTTATGACTTTTCAAAATTTTAGCAAAGAAATATGAAGAGATATATCATTGCATCATATACCTCAATGTATTATCTACCTATCGGAAATTTGGATCACGCACACTAAGAGGGGCTATGTTCAAGAGAGGGAAGGAACCATCTCAGTTTAACAATACTGGACAACCTAGTGGCAAGCCTAAAAGTCAAAAGGCTACAATATTAGCCACCTTGATAGCTTTGATTGAAAACCAAAAATATTTTGCTATGCAAAGCTGCACATGTTATTTGCTTGTAGATTATCTTCTCTCTCATGCCATGAGAAAGATGCATCCCAGGCATGAAAAGAAATGTGACACAACACTGATTTTAAACAACTTCTCAAATGTCTATCAGCACAGATTTTGTGTGTACCAGCCCCACGGGGGACTGTAGAGGTGCCTGAGCACCAGCACAGGCTACCAAGTGCTGGGGGTGAGGACTGAGCCTCAGGGGTCGGGATCCAGGCAAACTAGCTTAGGTTCCTCACCACTGCCCTAAAATCTACTTACTACATTGTATTCAAATATGCTAATGAACAAAATACAAAAAGCAACTCATCCTTTTTCAGCCAGTCAAGATTTTCTTCTCCCTATCCTCAGAAATCTGCCCCTAAAAATAGTACCGCAGGACTAGCCTCTAGAAGAGAAACAGATGTGTCCCCGCGGGTGCTATGTTCTCGGTGCCTGTGCGTCTTCGCGCCAGCGATCGGAGACTTTTTCCGGCAGTTTCTGCCACGCCACACAGACGCCAGAGCGCCCTCCAGTGCCGTTGGAATCCTAAGGTGCCTGTGCAGCACAGCTCCTCCATTCCTTCTCTACCTGCCCGAGTACGAGGCTCCAAAGCAGGGGAAGGAGGGAGGGTAGTGGAGCACCCATGGGGACACATCTCGAAGAACCACAGTTACTGTACAAGATGAGTAACTCTTTCTTCTTCTTCGAGTGGTCCCCGTGGGTGCTCCACTCTGGGTGACTTCAGAGCGGTTGTCGGCTCACGGAGGTGGGTTTGGAGCTGTGTGGTAGTTACTATGGATAGTACTGCATGTCCCACTGCCATAGAAGATGCAATCGAAGAAGAAAGTGCATAATGTTGCACAAATGTGTGGTCACATGACCAGGTGGTGACATTACAAATTTACTGAAGAGGAACGTTGCTAAGTAAGGCGGTTGTAGAAAACATAGCTCTGGTGGAATGAGCCGTTATGGATTCAGGTAAGTGTTTGTCGTATAAGTTAGAGCAAGTTGGTGATCCACTTTGAAATTCTCTGAGATGAGACTGCCTGTTCTCTAGATCGTTCAGTGTAGGACAAGAACAGCCTAGGAGAGGTTCGCTAAGGCTTAGTTCAATCCACGTAAAATGCTAGTGCCATCTGGCCTGAACTTGGGACAAAAAATGCAGGTAAGTGTATAGGTTCGTTAACATGAAAGGGGGAAGGCACTTTAGGGAGGAACTTCGGGTGGCGTCGGAGTATCACCCTGTCCTTTGTGAATGCCGTGTAAGGAGGGTCAGCCATCAAGGCTGCGAGTTCACTCACCCTCCTGCTGGAGGTTATAGCAACCAGAAAGGACACTTTCATGGACAAAAGGGACCAAGAGCAGGTGGCTAGCGGCTCAAACAGTGACTGTGTCAAACTTTTGAGAACATGGTTGAGATCCCAGACGGGGATCTGCAATCCTTGAAGTTAGCGTTTAGTTAACAGGTTAGCGAGGAAGGAAGCGCCGTTGATAGGGTGATGAAAGGCTGCCATGGCGGCTGCTTGTACTCTGATTGTGCTAAGGGTGGGGCCAGACTGTTTCAGGGATAGTAAGTATTCCAGCAAAGTAAGGAGGAGGGCGGGCGCCAGGCATGTTGTGTGTAGATTGGTATACCAATGAGAGAATCTTTTCCATTTGTATGTTTTCCTTGTGGATTGTCTTCTACTATTGATTAGTATCTCCTTACTGGTTCCGAACAGGCAATCTCAGCATCCTGGAGCCATGAAGGAGCCAGGCATGGAGATGGAGCTTGCGGAGGTCTGGATGGAGAGTCATCCCATGATTCTGTGACAGGTGGTGGTGCTGGAGTGGGAACGGGAACGGATCAGTCTTCGCCATCCTGTGAAGGTAAGGATACCATGTCTGTCTGTGCCAAGCCAGTGCCACCAGAATAACTCGCACCTGGTCCATCCTGATTTTGTTGAGGACTCTGTACAGTAGGGGGAAGGGCGTAAAGATGTAAAGGAGGTGAGTGTTCCATGAGATGGAAAAGGCGTCTCCGAGGGAATGTTTCCCCAGGGCTCCTCTGGAGCAATGTAGATGGCACTTTCTGTTGTTCTTTGTGATGAAGAGACCTATGTCTGGTTGTCCCCACTGGAGAAAAAGAGGAATGAGAGCATCTGTGTCTATCTCCCATTCGTGCTGATCGTGGAATGTGCGGCTTAGAGTGTCCGCTGTGACGCTGAGTATCCCTGGGAGATAAGTGGCTACTGGAATGACATGATGTATAAGGCACCAGTTCCAGAACTTGATAGCTTCCGCACACAGGGATAGGGATCGGGCGCCCCTCTGGCAGTTGATGTAGCACATGCACGTGGTGTCTGTCATGATGGTAATCGACTTGTGTGCAAAGTATTGTTTGAAATGGCTCACATCTGACTGCTCGCAGTTCGAGGAAGTTGATATGGAAGGTTTGTTCTGTCAACGACCATTTGCCCTGTGCTGTAACGTTGCCCCGATGGGCTTCCCAACCCATAAGGGAAGTGTCCGTCACAACTGTCAGCGTAGGAGGAGAGCTCTAGACGGGAATGCCTACTAGCATGTTCTGCGGATCTGTCTGCCAGCGGAGAGAATTGAGAATGTGAGGTAGGATAGCCACCATTTTGGAGAGTGGGTCTCTGGAAGGCTTGTCGGATGTTGCCAGCCATGATTGTAGACTTCTCATGTGGAGTCTGGTGAGCCTGACTACATAAATCGTAGAGGCCATATGTCCGAGAATTTTTAGACACTGGTGTACCATCAGGGTAGGAGTTAAACATGCAGTATTGATCAGGTCACGGATGGTAATGAACCTGTGCTTGGGTAGGGTAGCCTTTTCTTCTACCATGTCGAGGTAAGCACCTATGAACTCCAACTTCTGCGTTTGGAAGTAGAGAGGATTTTGCGTGGTTTATATGAAAACCCAGGTTGACCAGAAGGTGCATTGTGGTATTGGTCATGGTCTTGGTTTCTTGGAAAGAGG